ATTTAGGAAATTTGCCCAAATAAAAGAATAATATAATATAATATTTTAAATGATTTATTTCAAAGCAAAAGCCAAAAGCTGAATGACAAGTACGAGAGTACCGTTTGGTACCATTGTATAGTTTTTTATATTCACATTCCTAAAACTGGTTGAAATCAGCGTTGCCAAATATAATATTACTTTTTCCTAATTCATGTGTAATAATAATAATTCCTACTAAGTACCTACATCACAGTATCAAAAATTTTTCTCCCTCTAAATTATTAGTAAACCATCGGATTTCAGAAAAATCGAACATGTACCGGGTGACTACGAGAATTTTTCCAAACTCTAGCTTGGCATAGAAATCGATATCGATTTGAAATTTTCGGGATGCATATTGATGATATCGATTCAGAATCAGCATGAAAACAATTGACTGTGGCTTTCGGTTTGACCACAAAAATTTCCTTTCCGGTTCAATCAAAAGTTTTTAGTCTTGTGAGGTGCAATAATTTTATGTAGAATTTTCAATTGTTTGGGTAGGATCGGAAAAAAAAACGCAGAAGTCTGGTTTTTAAAAAAGTCGACGTTTCGCAAAATTTATTTGCATCTTCAGGACACTGTAATGATAAAAAATATAAAAGGGTTCTTTACAAAGTTAGATGATGAACTACAAAAATACAAAAGACAAACAAAAAACAGAGCTATCCTCCGATTTCGCACTACATTACTTGAATAAATATTTCATAAAAACAGAAAGAAAATAGCAGAATTACATGAAACCTTCAAATAAATTATACGTATATAAAAATATATATAGCTATATTGTAAGTGGGGAGAGTAGCATCATAAAACATAGAAAAAATACTTATAGTTAACAAAGGGTAGTGAAATTGACTTGATTACTTACATTTAAATTAGACTTTCCTTGTCATTGTTGTTTAACAGATTCACATAGGTATAGAGGTTTCTCGAAAACATAGTTGATAAAAAATTAAAAAAAACACACAATTACGTAGCACAACAATAACAATTTAAAATTCAAAAAAGCAAAAACAACAAACTTTACACACCTCAAATGAGAGATAAAAAAAAAACAAAAATTAACCATTCATCAAACGGAAATGTTATTCAAAAATTAATAACATAAATTATCTTTATAAACTAAGCTTTTAGGACGCAATTGTGTGTGTATTAGAACAGCTACATACACGTACTGATTTTATTTAGCGTCATCATTAATAGGATGGGAAACAAAAAACTGAATACCACACATTCCAACGCTAATATCTTGAGGGTTATTTAATTGTTGCTAATATATGAAAATATGCATTACTAAGATGTTCTATATCTGTTCTTTTGTTAACACAATTCTTATTTTTCTGGATCTCAATCATCTCCGCTATCAACCTTTTTTTGTAATTGGATTGTGTTTGTAAAATTGTTGTATTGTCATATTCAAAATCATGTCCAGTTTCTATTTTATGTTCGACTAGAGCTGTTGGATTCGATCTTAAGAGGTAATTCTTCTGATCGTTTTTATGTTCTCTCAATCGTGTTTTTAAATAGCTACCAGTTTGGCCTATGTAGCATTTATTACATTGGGAACAAGGAATGTTATAAACTACATTCGATTCGAGAGGAGAAAAAGTTAAGATTGCGATGAAAAGTCAGAATACAGTGAAGAACTGCTTTTATTCCAAGACTAAGTCCAGCACAGAAAAGCTAAATAAATCGAATGTAGTTTATAACATTCCTTGTTCCCAATGTAATAAATGCTACATAGGCCAAACTGGTAGATATTTAAAAACACGATTGAGAGAACATAAAAACGATCAGAAGAATTACCTCTTAAGATCGAATCCAACAGCTCTAGTCGAACATAAAATAGAAACTGGACATGATTTTGAATATGACAATACAACAATTTTACAAACACAATCCAATTACAAAAAAAGGTTGATAGCGGAGAGGATTGAGATCCAGAAAAATAAGAATTGTGTTAACAAAAGAACAGATATAGAACATCTTAGTAATGCATATTTTAATATATTAGCAACAATTAAATAACCCTCAAGATATTAGCGTTGGAATGTGTGGTATTCAGTTTTTTGTTTCCCATCCTATTAATGATGACGCTAAATAAAATCAGTACGTGTATGTAGCTGTTCTAATACACACACAATTGCGTCCTAAAAGCTTAGTTTATAAAGATAATTTATGTTATTAATTTTTGAATAACATTTCCGTTTGATGAATGGTTAATTTTTGTTTTTTTTTTATCTCTCATTTGAGGTGTGTAAAGTTTGTTGTTTTTGCTTTTTTGAATTTTAAATTGTTATTGTTGTGCTACGTAATTGTGTGTTTTTTTTAATTTTTTATCAACTATGTTTTCGAGAAACCTCTATACCTATGTGAATCTGTTAAACAACAATGACAAGGAAAGTCTAATTTAAATGTAAGTAATCAAGTCAATTTCACTACCCTTTGTTAACTATAAGTATTTTTTCTATGTTTTATGATGCTACTCTCCCCACTTACAATATAGCTATATATATTTTTATATACGTATAATTTATTTGAAGGTTTCATGTAATTCTGCTATTTTCTTTCTGTTTTTATGAAATATTTATTCAAGTAATGTAGTGCGAAATCGGAGGATAGCTCTGTTTTTTGTTTGTCTTTTGTATTTTTGTAGTTCATCATCTAAGTTTGTAAAGAACCCTTTTATTTTTTATCATTACAGTGTCCTGAAGATGCAAATAAATTTTGCGAAACGTCGACTTTTTTAAAAACCAGACTTCTGCGTTTTTTTTTCCGATCCTACCCAAACAATTGAAAATTCTACATTGAAAACCTACTCGGATCGACAAAACCACATTATTGTACAATAATTTTATTGCACAGTTTAGAGTTTACTCAGCTGAAGATTTTGTTACATTTAATTTTTTTCCTTGGGATTTTTGTCATTTGGATATCGAAAACGTAAGGGATTCTAGGATATTCATATTTTTGTTTCTTTGTCAGGTTTTGTAAAGGAATCTATTTATGTATTTATGGGGGACTCAATCATGGGTTCTAAGTAGGTACCGAACAGAAAAGGTCGGTTAGAAGTAATTTGGTCGCGTGGACTGTATCGTCACAAATTAAACCACATTTTCTGGTTTCCAGTTTTGGGAAAGTGAGATACTTTTTTTTGGCAGTAAATTTATTTGGTTTTGCTCCTGAGTGGGTTAGTTATCGGTGAAATTTACCGCTATCGGCTTATTTGCCGGATTTATTCCGCCTTCCACTTTGACCTCTGAGGTAAGCCCAAATTTGTTTTTTTTATTTCTAACTGACACTAAATTCCTTCTGTAGAACATTTCCCGTATGGAAGTTTTATAGCTTTTGGCTACAGAGAAAATAAACTACTTCAAAGCCACACAACAACCACGTAAGTCAAACTTTATGACCCCAACGAATTTTCTAGAAATAACTATTTCCTTTCTTCCGATCTCGTAGGGCTTGTCTTCCTATATGGATGTTGGTGTAGCCTTATCAATCAACCACTATTTAATAGACAATTTAATCAGCATTCAAAAGAAAAAGAAAAGAAAACCTATTGAATTCGATTTGGAACTGGATGTCCTGTCAGATAGCTTCCATTCTCGGATTTGTAACACAACACGTGTTCCACCTAACTCAGAGAAATTTTAATAAGCGTTGAAGAGCAATCTCCCTAGATCAACTTGGTGGAAATGCAGATAGATTATTTTATTTTGAAACATTGAATTATTTCATAAAGTTTTAAACAAAAGGTGGCCTGTGGGCCTTATTATAAATTTAGATAATTTATTTATTATTTTTATTCGTATAAAAGACCGTGTAAACCGGTTGTGATCACAGCTGGGATTGGCCAATATTTTTAGGTTTTATAAATTAATTAATTATCATAAAACAGTATCATCCATAATTACTTAAATTAGTCTCAGAATATTCTGGGAGTTTTATTTCACAGGAATTGTCTGTCTTTTTAGGGTTTGGGGTAGTACTCAAAAAACCAGTAAGCTCTCTGGCTCAAGCTACGTTGAGCCAGTGGCGCTCGAACTCACACCGGACTAGCTAGGCATGATTTGCTACACCCCGCTGTCCCCAAACCTGGTTATTAAAGAAACATAATTAATAAGCTAAATCGATATATTTTTTTTTTATCCTTATTCAATTAACTTTTTCTTCAATATATATATTAGCGTGTAGCAATTTTTTTCTATTTCTGCACTACCTAGACTTTGCGTTGGTATAAAAACACGAACATAAGGTTCATTTCACGAAGGTTTGTACTTATGACATCGATGATGTCATAACTTGGAAAAAAAGCTTTGTCGTAGAATAAATAATTCATATAACTGCGTATTTTATACCGCGGAACCAAAATAGTAATTTTAATCCCGAAGGTGGGTAAGGTTTATTTTTATTTACGCGTCTTTTGATACAATCAATTTTTTTGAGAAATTTTTTGGTTTTGATAACCGACGAACGTTTTTGACGTCCTTAATTTGTTTCAATCTTTATTTGTTAAAAAAGTTAGGCAGATAATGACGTAAGTACAAACCCTCGTGAAACAAACAGTGCTTTTTCTCTGCTTGTATGTACCTATTCGAACCTAGATTTGAACTGTGCTTTTAGATAGACATTCATTCCGTAGGTGATGTCATAATCGTAAAGTTTAAATGGGATTTAAAATAAAAAACACTTTATCCCAAGTTGCGGGTTTCTTCTTGGAAAAAGCGCCATTGATGCACTCATGCAAGTGGGGAAGGGTTTTTTTTTGAGCTGAATAGAACCTATGGAAGACAATTGAATGTTATATCACAACCAATATTAGCTATATTAAGGGTGTGCTTGAAATGTCGGTGATGCTGAGGAAAATATTTTTTAATACAGCATTTTTCAAATTTCAACAATTCTTAACGATTTTCATTTTATCTGTGAGCCCAATAAATATAATGTCATGTGATAATAACTTCTATTTTCAGGACAGACAGCTCAGACAGCTCATACAACCCCCAAAAGTTGAAAATTCCAGCTAAGAAAACTAGTCTTTGACAGATTGGGATTATTCGTTGATAAACAACAGCCCTAGCAGGGCACCGAAGCCATGGCAGCTGAATAGAGAATAATATACGAGCATGTCATCATACTATCGTTGAAATTTGCTCAACTATTTTATGCCTTTGTTTTTTTTTTCCAGTTTTGAGTGATCCTCAATATTAAGTAAAAAATTGATATTTAATGTTATTCCTTTCATCTCAAATTGACCATATATTCTACATGATAATATGTCTTCTATATAGGAAAAACAACTCTACAATCTATTCCTATGTACAAATATTAAAATGATAATAGATATAAATAAATAGATACATAATTTGCTTTCCCACATCTGCTAATTATGATGTTACAAAAAGTAAGTAGGCACTGTGAATTTATAATAAATTTAATTGATTAGTGTTTTCAATTTAAAGCATTCTATATGATATTCCAATGTAAAACTATTTCTTGTAGCTTTGCATTTGTGGGACATGATTTATTGAAGAATTGAAAAAAAAAAACAACTATAGCTTTCAGTAAATCCAATTTTTGTCTACTTTGAGGGATTTTGGAAATATAAGTTTTTGAGAAACAGGTCCTTACACTACTTTGCGATAAGATTGGGAGGCATAGTTCAAAAGGGATTTGATCTTTTTTTTTTTAAAGTAGTTATCCGAAATTGAGCTACTGAGAGGATATAGTTGGATGTGACTTTTTTTTAAAATTTTTCAGCTTGGGACCTATGGATTTCTTAGAATCCTCCACAAATGATGGTAATGAGCAGAATATTTTTAAATTTCAATTGTTTTGAAAATTTTTTGATTTGAATTATTTTTTTCAGATAAACGATTCTGATAATAACAATAGCATTATGGCAAAAAGGGTATATATGTTGGTATAAATATGTTGTTCATCGCTGCCATTCAACTCTTCTCTGATGGTGAACAATAAGAAAAATTAGTATTTTTGATTACCATCAGAAGAATATTTCCACATTCTTACTATTTAAAAAGCACATCAGAGTATCAGGTTTGTAACAGATTTAAACATATGTTCAATGCAGCTTCCTATATGCTCATATTCTGGCAAGTTATTTCTATATTTTTACAAATATAATTTTCTCTGGTTTTTTGAAAATCTACCTTCCAAATATCCTCTTTGTAGGGTAAGCTCTGGTGACCCTCAACTGAAGGCTGGGACGGTATGAGTTGATGCTTTCCAAAAGCCAATATCCGCCAGTCTGCGAGGTGAAGAAGTCATCCGGGTTAATTCAAGTGTAGACCATTGCCTGAGAGAAATACACTTTGGTGATGAAACTGAGATAAATACGAAAATAATTTGATGCGAGCCGAAGTCCACTCACTCCATTCAATCAAAAATATTATAATATATTTGAACAAACATCTCTGGTTTCAAGTAACTAGGTCCAATACCCTCTCTGTAGGATAAGCCCTGGTGACCCTCGACAAATGTCTGGGACGGTATAAGTTGATGCTTTTTAAAAGCCAATATCCGCCAGTCTACGAGGTGAAGAAGTCATCCGGGTTAATTCAAGAGTAGACCATTACCTGAAAGAAATACACTGCGCTACACAGATACATACAAAAATAATTTAATGCGGGCCGAAGTCCATCCACTGCATCTAATCAGAAATATTATGGTATATTTGAACAAACATAGTTTGCTCTGGTTTCAATAAAAATAACTAATTCCACTGCCCTCTCTGTAGGGTAAGCCTTGGTGACCCTCGACTAAAGTCTGGGACGGTATAAGTTGATGCTTTTCAAAAGCCAATATCCGCCAGTCTACGAGGTGAAGAAGTCATCCGGGCTAACTCAGGAGGAAACCAATGCCTCAGAAAAGTAAACTCCGCCGATGCAAGATGAAGATACATTCAAAAAAAATTTACTGCCGGCCAGAGTTCATTTATTTCAATTAACCAGAAAAATTATGTTTAAAATTTGTGGCCATACAAACTTAGACACTATTTTGTCTATCTTTGAAGCATGAGAGCATTATGTTCAGTCCTTTATTGATCAGCGGTTCAAAAGAGCCTATTTCCTGGAACTGATACGGCAATTTCAAGATATAGTAGTGATGATTCCAACTATAGTAATCTGTTGACAACGATGAAACTATCGAATCAGTCTGGTTATTGTGCCGTGTTTTTACCAGAATCTTACCTTTCTGGTCATGCAAATTTGTGCTCTTCAATACTAACATTGTTCAAGATGTTCAATTCATGGCCATAGTAGTTGTCTGTGATTTGAAATCTCTCGTAGGATTTTTCCTCATATCTTGTAGCGATTCTTGCAGACGTAGAAGTGTCACACTATATTCCTTGTTGGAAAGCTCTATTGCTTTTTCTGGTACCCGAATGGGTTCAATAATAGGAATTCTGATGAGTGTGGCCATACTTTTTTCGATTTAAATTGTTTTTTTCAGACAAAGGATTCTGATAATTACATAAGCATTTTGGCAAGAAGGGTATCTATATTGGTATAAATATGTTGTCATCTTTGCCATTTAACTCTTCTCTGGTAAACAATAAGAAATTTGAAAGTATTTTTGATTCCCATGAGAAGAATATTTCCACATTCTTACTATTTAAAAAGCACACCAGAGTATCAGGTTTGTAACAGATTTAAACATATGTGCAATGCAGCTTCCTATATGCTCCTCTTCTGGCAATTTACTACATTTATACAAACATAATTTTCATTGGTTTTTTGAAAATCTACCTTCTAAATATCCTCTTTGTAGGTTAAGCCCTGGTCACTGGTGACCCTCGACTGAAGGCTGGGACGGTATGAGTTGATGCTTTCCAAAAGCCAATATCCGCCTGTCTACGAGGTGCAGAAATCATCCGGGTTAATTCAAGAGCAGACCATTGTCTGATGAAACAGAGATTTATACAAGAATAGTTTGATGCGAGTCGAAGTCCACTCACTCTATTCAATCAAAAATATTATAATATATTTGAACAAACATAATATTCTCTGGTTTCAACTAACTAGGTCCAATACCCTCTCTGTAGGGTAAGCCCTGGTGACCCTCGACAAAAGTCTGGGACGGTATAAGTTGATGCTTTTTAAAAGCCAATATCCGCCAGTCTACGAGGTGAAGAAGTCATCCGGGTTAATTCAAGAGTAGACCATTATCTGAAAGAAATACACTGCGCTTATGAAACAGAGATACATACAAAAATAATTTAATGCGGGCCGAAGTCCATCCGATGCATTTAATCAGAAATATTATGGTACCTATATGTGAACAAACATGATATGTTTGCTCTGGTTTCAATAATAGTTATTAATGATACAAGTTCGATATGAACGCCATAATGAAACGCGTGTAACGTTAAACCACGAGGCGTTAGCCGAGTGGTTTAGTTACACAAGTTTCATTAATAAAGTTCATATCGAACGTGTATCATTCAAAATTTAATCTACAATGGTCCAAATAGATTTGATTTGCCTTGAAATAGCAAAAACTTCTCAAATTAAAATTTGAAATTTAGCAGGTGCCCGTACTAGTCGAGAACCTGCTTGTTGGTTTTTAGAATTTTAACTTTGGCAGCTTCAATATTGGAGTCCATTTTTGTGCCATAAATTCAATTTTATAGTGGAAAATAATATTATTATTGGTGATTCTGAGTTCGAAAGTGTCTCTTCGAATATAGAGACAGCATTATTGAAAAGGTTCTTCTGGCAACTAACTTTCTTTTTGTATATTTTTCATTTCAAAATTTGGGTGTTATTATGAGTTCTTAAACGCACTAGTGCTATTATGAAGGACCTAATGACATTCAAATGACAATGCTAAATGTGTCATAATGACACCGACGTAGATTAAAATAATTAATATCACTGCCCTCTCTGTAGGGTGAGCCTTGGTGACCCTCGAATAGAGTCTGGGACGGTATAAATTGATGCTTTTCAAAAGCCAATATCCGCCAGTCTACGAGGTGAAGAAGTCATCTGGGCTAACTCAGGAGGAAACCAATGCCTCAGAAAAGTAAACTCCGCCAATGCAAGATGAAGATACATTCAAAAACAATTTACTGCCGGCCAGAGTTCATTTATTTCAAACTAGAAAAATTATGTTTAAAATTTGTTGCCATACAAACTTAGACACTATTTTGTCTATCTTTGGAGCACGAGAGCATTATGTTTAGTCCTTTATTGATCAGCGGTTCAAAAGAGCCTATTTCCTGGAACTGATAGGGCATTTTCAAGATATAGTAGTGATGATTCCAACAATAGTAATCTTTTGACACCGATGAAATTATCGAATCAGTCTGGTTATTGTGCCGTGTTTTTACCGGAATCCTACCATTCTGGTCTTGCAAATTTGTGCTTTTCAAAACTAACACTGTTCAAGATGTTGAATTCATGGCTATAGTAGTTGTCTCTGATTTGGAATCTCTCGTAGGATTTTTCCTCATATCTTGTAGGGATTCTTGCAGACGTGGAAGTGTCACACTATATTCCTTGTTGGAAAGCTCTATTGCTTTCTCTGGCACCCGAACGAAAGAAGGGTTCAATAATAGGAATTCTGACGAGTGTGGCCATACTTTTTTCGATTTAAATTGTTTTTTTCAGATAAACGATTCTGATAATAACATAAGCATTTTGGCAAGAAGGGTATCTATGTTGGTATAAATATGTTGTCATCTTTGCCATTTAACTCTTCTCTGGTAAACAATAAGAAAAATTAGTACCTATTTTTGATTACCATGAGAAGAATATTTCCACATTCTTACCATTCAAAAAGCACACCAGAGTATCAGGTTGTAACAGATTTAAACATATGTTCAATGCAGCTTCCTATATGCTCATCTTCTGGCAATTTACTACATTTATACAAACATAATTTTCTCTGGTTTTTTGAAAATCGACCTTCCAAATATCCTCGCGTAAGCCCTGGTCACTGGTGACCCTTGACTGAAGGCTGGGACGGTATGAGTTGATGCTTTCCAAAAGCCAATATCCGCCAGTCTACGAGGTGAAGAAATAATCCGGGTTAATTCAAGAGCGGACCATTGATTGATGAAACAGAAATATACACAAGAATAGTTGGATGAGAGCCGCAGTCCATTCACTGCATTTAATTAGAAAGATTATAATGTATTTGAACAAACATAGTTTGCTCTGGTTTCAATAAAAATAACTAATTCCACTGCCCTCTCTGTAGGGTAAGCCTTGGTGACCCTCGACTAAAGTCTGGGACGGTATAAGTTGATGCTTTTTGAAAGCCAATATCCGCCAGTCTACGAGGTGAAGAAGTCATCCGGGCTAACTCAGGAGGAAACCAATTTCTCAGTAAAGTAAACTCCGCCGATGCAAGATGAAGATATATTCAAAAACAATTTACTGCCTGCCAGAGTTCATTTATTTCAATTAACCAGAAAAAATATGTATAAAATTTGTTGCCATACAAACTTAGACACTATTTTGTCTATCTTTGGAGCATGAGAGCGTTATGTTTAGTCCTTTATTGATCAGCGGTTCAAAAGAGCCTATTTCCTGGAACTGATACGGCAATTTCAAGATATAGTAGTGATGATTCCAACAATAGTAATTTGTTGACACCGATGAAACTATCGAATCAGTCTGGTTATTGTGCCGTGTTTTTACCGGAATCTTACCATTCTGGTCTTGCAAATTTGTGCTCTCTAAAACTAACACTGTTCAAGATGTTCAATTTATGGCCATAGTAGTTGTCTGTGATTTGGAATTTCTCGTAGGATTTTCCCTCATATCTTGTAGCG